ATATTTTGTGTTGCTACGATTAGCTTACGACATATTTTAACTCAATTTACCCAAGGAAATTTGATTGTAATTTAAGTTGTTTTTTTTCGGAAGAGAATGATATGCCAGTCAAATGTTAGTTATTTATGGAATTGACAAAATTTCGGCGAAATAATAATTCAAAAGAAAAAGTCCGTGTGCTAATGAAGAAATAAGAGTAATGAAATAAATATATAAGTGCCATTACCCTTTAAAATGACTAACTGTTCCTCAATGGGATTATCTTATCAACAAGTTTTAAAGGGATTCAATCTGCCTTCGTGTTCAAGGTGAGTCAAGGCAATAAGTGCATGAACCTCTTATCAACATGAAACTACAAGAGAATAAATGCATTAACCTCTTATCAACATAAAACTAATTATATTGACATAACTACATTTTTGTGCTTAGAGTTAAGGAGCGTCATCTCTTTAGAATGCCAGGGCCACTCCTACATTCATTTAGTGGTCCTTGAAAATAAAATTGCTTCTATCCCAGCGCACTGGACCACTCAGTTTTACGAGAATCAATCATTTCTCTTCGAACCTCGCAATTGTATCACGCATCACGCAATCACGTCTCAATAAGTGGCAATTGTATCAAGTATCATGCAATCACTTTTCATTAAGTGATAATTTATATCACGCACCATGCAATCACGTCTCTTTAAGTGGCAATTGTATCAAGCATCATGCAATCACATCTCATTGTCACAATTGTATCACGCACCATGCAATCACTTTTTATTAAGTGGCAATGTATCACGCACCATGCAATCACTTCTCATTAAGTGACAATTTGTATCACACACCACGCAATCTCTTCTCATTAAGTGACAATTGTATTACGCACCATGCAATCACTTCTCGCAAGCTAGCAACCGTGCAGACAAAATTGCATTTGGCCACAGCACACAAAGCATGTGACCGTAAAAGGAGCTGCACAATAAAAACAGCGCATGCTTCACTAAATTAGGAGGATGATAGTATCCATTGATAAGCTGAGAGGGCGTGTAATCAATACATCGATTTATCTGTGATTTTTGCGCAGTAGGTTAATTGGCTTATCGCCGAAACGCGGCTATCCGCGACGGGGTCTTCTTGCTACACGAAATTGGCAAAAAAATGTGTAATTTATCATAACTCACTAGGAGCTGCTGTATAATACTATGAATAAGGACAACGCTTCATTGTCCTTCATTTCAATATCATCTAACAAAAATGTTTCCTGCGGCCAAAATAGAGTTGAAAACTCTAATGAAGTAATTTCAGCATTTTCACTGCGTCGATTAATGCCGCTAATTTTTGCAGAAAATAACGAATGCTTCTTCATCTCAAGAATTTGCTGTATGCGGCTGAAATGCTCACAGCTTGAATCGGTCTTCGTAAGCGAAGATTCGTCTGTTGTCAGACTCTGGGCAGAAGTGACGGTCCGTACCAAAACTTTCCGATGCTCTCGATTACGTCAGCTAATGTTCAGAACATTGTTAACCTTGCATGATGTTATCCCTATCGTGATGAAGGTCTTTTAATGCACCTTCGGCCCCACTTACTGAAACATCAACCCTCGATTAGACTTGCGTAATCGGCCAAGATGCGGGTTATTTACGTGGCCCTGTAGATGTGTGAATCAACCTTTCATGGAGCACTGCCCTCTGTGTCCTATCAATCGCCCTTCAAATTCGACCACATGGATGATCTGTTCAATTTATCAGAAAATTAAAATAATTGATGTCCTTCATTTCTTGCTCTAATTTTTGGAACGCTCTAAGCGAATTTTAGGAAATAAATCCCAGAGAACATGGAAAAGTTCTCGTCTTGAGACTTTTAATTTCTAATTTTCGATGCGTTGGCACTTGTCGAGGCGGCAATGAATAACATAGACACCATTAATAAATTAAGGGCCACTTCAAATAACGTGTAGGCGAGAAAGAAGGGTTGCTTTACTATATTTAATGTTGGTGCAGGTTCAACGACCTCTATCAGTATCCGTGAGGTGCAGGTGCACTGTTCATTTCCGCTCTACAGAATGCTGGGCCTCTTCCGTTACATCCGGATCAGGTTTAGTCGCGATTTTAGATGCGAGGGGAAATTGCAAAACTGAGATGACTCTTCGACCTGAAATCTTTTTTTTTATTACGTAATTTTAATCGCAGTACAGCATTTTCTAAGAAAAGTGAGGAGCTCTCAGCAAAAAACAGCAATGAAAAAAATCACTCTAACCAAATTTCTAACAATTTCCAGGCCTTTAATCGTATGCGTTTGCTCAGCTCCATGTTTGAGTTTTTAACGATCAATAAGTCAACACAAGCACACACAATAGTGATAGAATTTAGCTAGTCTTCCTTTTGATTTCTTGTCTAGCAGGTCAAGGACTGTAATGCAAGGATATAGATGAGGTTTTCTATTAATTTGCCTGTTTTGTAAATGTTTTCATTAAATATCTAGTGTTTGAAGCAAACGGTAGATGTTGCTCAGTGAATAAATGATGGCATTATCCGTATCCTCTAAAGCTCTCATACATCATTTATAGCAGGCAATTTCTCAACAGTATGTACGTTTATTGTCACGTTGGAAAATGCGATTGCGCCTGCATGTGCAAGTAAGGTAATCAATACACATTATGTAATACTGTAAGCCTTGGTTTAAATTGGTAACAAATCTTCTTTCGCTATACTAGCTACAACTCGTCTAATTTCACCTCATAAATATACGTAAATCGGACTAAAAGTTTAAGAGAGGTTCGCAAATTCAGCGAAATGGTTCGATAACTTCACAATTGCCAGCGACTCCGATAAACGTCTATATGTCTACTTTTATATTATGCATTTAGTATTAATAAAAATCTCTTACGTATCAGTAGCAACCAGTAAACAAGTTAATGATTATGCAGGCCTTGAGTGCTCGATGGTTACTTCGATTACGAGACGTTGTCATCGCCGATATGAGCATCGGTCACCAGAAGGCGTTAGGTGAGAGAATTCTGATTTTCTAGAGTTCAGCTGCTGTTTCCCTGCTGAGTAAGAATAATATGTGAGGCATTTAATCATTATCAGGCAACTCTTGAAAGAAGTACCTTATCAGAGTATATGGCGACAGAGGGGCCTCCCACGCAGCTAATTATTGGAGGCAATACCACTATGTCTGGGCGGAAATTTAGTTCTGATGCAATGCCACGCCATGTCTGGGCAATGAAGGTTCTGATGTAATGCCACGCCATGTCTGGACTGCGATGTGGGTTCTGATTTGATGCCACGCCATGTCTGGACTGCGATGTGGGTTCTGATGTAATGCCACGCCATGTCTCGAAGGTGATGTGGGTTCTGATGTGAAGTATATTTTCCCAAGTCATTGAGAAATTAAGAACAATACAATATGAAATTCATCCGTATGCAATTTAATAAATACCGTGATACATTTTGAGAACCGTTCAATTTATATATATATATATATATATATATGTTACTGCAAATCAACTCTATATTGAAATTTAAATTAAGATTTGTAAAATCGGTAAAGAGCTATTTTATACATTCAAGCGATTGAGATATTTAGAATTCTTTATTTCAACTACTATACAGTAGGAATTTTGGAACGTTTTACGTACGAGTATCAGAAGTTCATTAACTAAAGCAAAGTTAACAAATTTAATTACTTAATCGTAATAAGATAACTTGGGATATTTATTAGTACGATATCCACTCAATAATCTTGGCTTAAGATCTCTGGTTCATGTACAATAAGAGATGCATTTAATTAATTCTTTTATGACGTGGTAATCTTCGAGACAAGCTACGGAATGACTTCATTTACTGATACTTTATCATATCGTTTTTTCCGAGAACCAAATGATACGAACCATGAACCTTGCGCACTCTTTTTTGTTGTAGAAAAAGCATGTACATATAAAATCACGAACGTATAAATTACTCGAACGTTGAGATCCGTAAACTCTATTCGTTTAGCTGGTGGCTGAACGACCTTTCTGCTTAATCCAACATCCTGCAATTTTATCACACGTATTTGAGGAGAATCTCTAATAATCGAGCACCAACCAAAAACCTGATTGGTTGCGTCTTCTCCACATCAGCCTCAAAAAAATGCCTTACAGCTAAACCAATCTATTTATACGCACTAGCCTTTTCCGTCTCTTTCCCTCCATTCCATTTCTGCTGTTATTTTTAGCTACTCTGCCCTGCCTTTTGTTTTCCACATTTTTCTAGCGGCGCTGCAGTAATAGCATAAATTTATATCGAGCCCGAGTAGCATTGATCGTATGCGTTTGCTCAGCTCCATGTTTGACTTTTCAACGATCAATAAGTTTTCAACGGTTTTCGAATGTGCATGAAAGTGGAAAAAATGGTTCATAAATTCTACATAAATAATTAACTAAAAGTCAGTTCATATGGGGTTATGATGTTATTCAGATTTAACTAATTTTTATCTCTCATAATAATATATAAATTCAGATTTTCTCAGATAATAAGGGTTGCCAAATAATGTTGAATCTTTCTTATATTTCTCTTTCAGTATCATATTCCTTTTTCTTAGGTCGGTACGTGTACTAAGCAAGTACGGCTTGAGGTTCTTATTTCCGCAGCATATACAGCACGTACTTCACTGGTTGTTGGAAGACGCTGAGGTTTACACTATAGCGTCGAGTGCCGCGCAATCACTGACGGTGTCGTTCGAATTTATATTTTTATCATAACTTCTTCCACCTACCAATCTCAATCCTTAACAGTGATCAATGCTTTGTATTTATAATAATGCTGAATGAAAAACATTTTGCATAAAATTCAGAGAATAAACAAATTTTTGACACCATGGCAAAGAGAATATTTTTAAAATCTGGTTTTTATGCAGGATTTTGATCACGATCAATAAGATTAAAGTATTTGTACATAGTAGGAAACGATAAGATATGTACGTCAGCCTATATAAAAGAGACATCACGTCCACACCGCACCGCAGTTACGAGACGCAGCTGTCCGAGCTAACACTGTTTCTTTGCAAGCAGGGAGTTGTATTTTACGATCGCATGGACGTCGCGAAATTAATTTCTTCTACTTAAGGTCGAGGAGGAAATTAACGAGCTTCGGGCGATTGAAGTGAGTTTTGAACTCCGTTCTTGTCTTAACGCATACAACTTTGTCTCAAACATTGATTCCTTATACAACCTCCATACATTGATCGCAATTGATTTTTGACGTAAGCAAATCACGAATTACGGTTAATTAACACGGTAAAATAAGATTAGTCATGAATAAATACCAGACGTACTCTTGAGATAGGAAAAAGTGTATCACATAATTCTGGCGTCGAAATGTCGAAGTAAAAGCGAATCATGCACCAGTAACTCCTGCAAGCTATTCACTGAGATATGAATTTCCATGCACTATAAAGTTCCGCAGCAACTACCTTACGAAATTAAGTTGACGAATTAAAGGTGGATATTCTGCTTCAAGGTGGTTGATTGATACTTTGCAAGGGAGGGGGGGCGGAAATCATAATGTTGGTGATACTCGAATTCATTAAATTCATTTTTTATCAGAGCAGAAGTGAATCATAATTGAACGCGGTAAAAACTCCACTAATGTTTATTGTGATGATTTTTGTTGATTTATTAAGGGAATTTGTTTCATAAATCGTTTTCCTCCTAACGCAAGCTTCGTGTATTTTGAATAAAATGTAATTAAACTGTCAGTGAGTTTCATTTCAATCTGAGAGCAGCCTTCTAAATGAATTTAAGGGAAATTATTGTGAATAGTTGATCGAAAATTGCTAAAAATGATGGAGTACATATAATAATTACAAATTGTGTATCTATTTCTACAAAAAACTGCAAAGTTACTGCACAATCCAGGAAAAGTTATTGAACTAAATATAAGATGAAAAAGAATGAGTGTTCGATAGCAGTAAACTTATACGGTGCTCTGAACCCAATCAACGTTTCTCTAGAAATAATGATTAGTCAATTTTTACATTACAGTGTAACTTTTGGTGTACAGTGTAACTTCCATTTTGCGGGGCTGTTATTAATTAGGTCTCGTGATTCTTTGGCAAGCATGTAGTGGCTTTTGACATTGCTCGAAGTTTCAGTCATGAACAGCACTCGACGTTTCACAGTCATGAGTATCGCTGGACGTTTCAGTCTCGAGTATCGCTCGAAGTTTTAGTCATGAGTATCGCTCGACGTTTCAGTCATGAGGATTGCTCGACGTTTCAGTCATGAGTATCGCTCGACGTTTCAGTCATGAGTATTGCTCGACGTTTCAGTCATGAGTATTGCTCGACGTTTCAGTCATGAGTATTGCTCGACGTTTCAGTCATGAGTATCGCTCGACGTTTCAGTCATGAGTATCGCTCGACGTTTCAGTCATGAGTATTGCTCGACGTTTCAGTCATGAGTATTGCTCGACGTTTCGGTCATGAGTATCGCTGGACGTTTCAGTCATGAGTATCGCTGGACGTTTCAGTCATGAGTGTCACTCGACGTTTCAGTCATGAGTATTGCAGGACGTTTCAGTCATGAGTATCGCTGGACGTTTCTGTCTCGAGTATCGCTCGACGTTTCAGTCATGAGTATCGCTGGACGTTTCAGTCATGAGTATCGCTCGAGGTTTCAGTCATGAGTATTGCTCGACGTTTCAGTCATGAGTATCGCTCTACGTTTCAGTCATGAGTATCGCTTGACGTTTCAGTCATGAGTATCGCTGGACGTTTCAGTCATGAGTATTGCTCGACGTTTCAGTCATGAGTATCGCTCGACGTTTCAGTCATGAATATCGCTCGACGTTTCAGTCATGAGTTTCGCTCGACGTTTCAGTCATGAATATCGCTCGACGTTTCAGTCAATCGCTCGAAGTTTCAGTCACGAGTATAGCTCGAAGTTTCAGTCACGAGTATCGCTCGAAGTTTCAGTCACGAGTATCGCTCGAAGTTTCAGTCATGAGTATCGCTCGAAGTTTCAGTCACGAGTATTGCTCGACTTTAAAGCGACGAAATTCATTCACCGATAAGTTGACGTAGCAAGGGATCGTCTTAAAGATAACATGTCGCCTAGAGAGAAAAGGCCGGACATTTGAATACTTTCGACACTTAAGCCAAAATACCATGACTTGGTTTAGATTAGTAACATTAGTTAGCAATATACTAGTTCCATATCAGTGACGCATTATTCAGAACATAAGTTAAACATGATCCTGTTCAGGGTTCAAGAAGAGAAAGAAGCTTATTTGGCGATTTTAATTGTTATCAGGACTTATGAGCTGCTGTTATCGCCGGACTTATTCGTAATGTTTCATACCTTATCTATGTTCCGGCGATAAGCCTCCTATAAAAGCCAAAACGCCCTCTCTTATCAGTAGCCTGTATGAAAGAATACTGCGCAGTTGGCAGTATTGTGCGCTACAGTTACGGTCGAGTGTGTCTGAATAAAGAAATAAAGTGTCAGGGGTTTTAAGTACATTGACAATGCTTAAAACTAGTCATTTGGGATACGTTAGTACTGCTTACAACTAGACACGTTGGATAAGTTAATACTGCTTACAACTAGACGTTTGGGATACGTTAGTACTGCCTACAACTAGACACTTAATTGGGATACGTTAGTATTGCCTAAAACTAGACACTTGGGATACGTTAGTACTGCTTACAACTAGACACTTGGGATACGTTAGTACTGCTTACAACTAGACACTTGGGATACGTTAGTATTGCCTACAACTAGACACTTGGGATACGATAGTACTGCTTACAACTAGACACTGGGGATACATTATACTGCTGCGGAAGTTAATGAAATTAATAGTTATCTCGGAAACAGTGCAACATTTGAATATTTGTTAATTAGATTTCTATGGAAATAGCTGACTTATAGATTATTATTCCATTGTTAAAAATTTATTTATTGAATCTGAATTCTTTGACCATACAAAGTAATTAGAGCGATTCTTTGTGTAACTAGTAATCTATGTCCATGAACAAAATTGTTTAACAACCTAATACTTTTCTCATCTACAGAAATTCTAACTCGGTTGCTTTGAAAAAAAAAATTGAAAAATGGCGATGACGGAAAAACGGACGAATGGCCATGGTGAGCAACTCTGAAATAATTTGAATTTCATTGTAATAGCAGATTAATTTTATGAGAAGACATGACACTGCACATAAAATATTCTTTGGGCATTGGATCTCGAGAGCAGGGAAGAAGACGTTTTATCAGAAGATAAAACGATAAGACTGGGATAGAGGCCTCTGTGAGCTCTCTTGTAATGTGCTCTTTCGCAGCAGCTTGCAAAAGAGAACAACGTGCTGCAATAAACATCTAGTTCATAAAATAGTGTTTCCTGATCTGATATATTTTTACACGGATTATGTTTAAGATTTTCCATATTAAACATTCGAACTTGGACTGACGTTAGAAATAATGAAAAGAATTTTTATCGGCATAATGTACTTGTGACTAATTGGATCTTTATCATCGATGGTGCTTATTCCAGTGGTGCCATTTGAGGTCCTGGAAATGAAGATGGAGAGACCAGTGAAAATAGTGTATCCCAGACGCCGCATCCCGAGCATCATGCACTTTCAGTCCGAGGCCGTGAGGTTGGAAACTTATGGCACAAAATGGCCGAGCAAGAATGTCTCCAAGGAAGACCTAGCACGCAGTGGTTTTGTATACAGTCACAAGACGGATCAAGTCAAGTGCTTCTTCTGTAAAGGACAAATCGCTTGTTGGGAGGCAGGTGACGATGTAGACGTAGAACACAAGAAATCCTACAGGAATTGTCCCTTGGCCAACGGAAAATCTGCCGTCAACATCCCCAAGGATGGAAAGGAATTCGAAAAAATCAACCAATACATTCTGAACCAGTTGGATGAAGCAGAACCCCCCACGAACAGGACGAAATATCAGACAGGTTCGTATACATGTTATGGTATAGGTATTCGGAATTAGTACATTGTAAATCGTTTGAGCTCGAAGTACAATGTTCTTATTTAATATACTGTAAAGAGTAAATTATCTCATATATAAATCAGATTGCAGTTTATGTACTAACACAGCAAACGATAATTCAAAAGAGAGTTAATTTTTTTACAACTGGAGTTACTCTAAGTTCATCAAGGCTATAACATGGTATAACTAGGTTATTTTAATTGAATAAGTGTGCTAACGATGGGCTTAAGCAAAAACACCTTGGAAATTATTTTGATCGCTATGCTATTTTGGTATCATTTACGATTATTTCATAACTATCAATCGTCATTACTAGGCAATTTAGGTTACGTTTGGACTTGACTTGAGTTTGAGTTTTGGCAGCATAGCAATGTATGTAGTGAGATTTTGCTATGGTGAAATCTGAACCGGAAAACCGGGTTACATCTCTGGGTAATAAAAATTCTGAATTAATTTTTGCTATTATTCTAGATGCAAAAGCTATTGCAGACAAAGCGATACCGTCAAAATTCGAGGAATTCGTCAACAAGAACAAGCGCATTGCATCGTTCGAAAACGCCCCTGCCTGCTTGCCTAAAGCTGCCGTCATGGCTGAGGCGGGCTTCTTCTACTCTCGTAAGTCAGCTGGGCAATCTTGTTCAATAATTTTGTCCTGAATCATTTTTTATATCAACTATCAAAAGACAACCATTCGTTTGTGGCACGCCATGCCTTCGCCGTAGGAAATCTGTTTGAAAAATTTTAAATTTTTAATTCGATAAAGTTTTCAATCATCTTCGAAAAGTTATGGACTGTTATGATTTGAAATTGAGATTGCGTCTAAAACAAACAAAAAACTTCATTCTAATAATGCCATTGATCATCTCATAAAACGTTGGACTCACGATCATGGACAAATACAAAAAACGAATAAAGAAATATTAACACTTGGCAAATGATCACCTCAATGACAGAAAACTAAAAACTTCCAAGAAATCTAAATCTTACCTTTATGGCAATTGCTTTAAATAGAGTTTGCGGACTTGGCTCAATGCTACTGTTGCGGAGGAGGAATAATCAACTGGGCTAGCGACGAAGACCCTAAGGCCGTCCACGATGCCCTCTATCCCAAGTGTGCTCTTGCTGAGAAAGATGAGACTCATGAAGAAGAGGAGCCCGTGATCAACGCTTCGGGAGAGAAGAGGAAGAGGAAAATCAGCCTAGAAGAGATAAAACAGGATTTATTGAACTTTCCTTGGATCAGGGTAGGTAAAAATATGAACGCGGATGAATGTTTCAGCTTCTGTTACTGTAATGCCGTCTGTTACCGTTCATGCCGTCCGAACAGATGCCTTGAAGCGGTTGGACGGAATGAGTGAATGGATATCAACGGCTCAAAGTTAAAATATTTTCATGGGGTACTATGTCACATATACACAGCACAAAGTTTGCATGTATCTTATCAGTAGCTAAATTGTTACCGAGGGCTGGATTTTTTTTTGCACTGGAACATTTTGCTTTAATCTCTATATGGCAATGTTTAGTTACCTGCAAAAGTAAGATTTCCTCAACCTTTGTTGCAGAACGTCCGAGGTATTTATTCTGATGAAGTCATTGGAGACGCTCTTTGTGAAGACCTGGCAACGTACGGCACGCTCCCCTACACAGTGGACCAAGTGTACGAGATTGTGGACGATTACGAGAGCCGCCAGTAAAAGGGGGAGGATGCCTTACCCCCCGCGGAGGGAGGTCTTTGCTTTGCGGCAAGCCGCGTCGAACGGGGTCAGCAACGCGGCTGTTTTCGAACGCACTTATGGTTTTATTCTTCATTTGAGAAAAAATCGTGATTATAGAATATTGCCATATCGTCCCAGCACCAAAGATATTGGTCTGCGCGAAGTTGGTGAGGAGATTCGGAAGTTTCCGATTGCGTTCATTCATTTTCTCATTTGACAGGTAAAATGGTCCAAATTTGTCCGAGGACGACTGTCATGACAAAAATCAGAGCAGGGAAACTCAAAAATTATCATGTATCTTTGCTCAGAAACAAGTTTGAATCACAGAATAATGATAATTTCATAATAAAATCATTAGGTTCGCATGCTCTTTCTCACAGGTAAATTGGTAAGTTTATGATAAATTGGAAGTAGCATCAGATGATTTTCAGTACAAAATTAGTTTAAATGCATTTCGACGACTTCTTTAGATGTTTACTTCTTCCGACTTCCGTGCAGAGAGGAATCCTGTGCAGATCGTTTCTTTTAATTAATAACTTTGATTGCGTTGATCGAGACCGTGAGAATTTTATGGCCAAGATGCTTCTCGTTAATCTATTCGCATTAACTCATGTATTGAATGATTTAAATCTATTTAGTCGACCATGATTCAGCTGCAGGATTGCTAACCTAATCAAGTTGAGTTCTGAAGACAGAATTGATTCAACAATGTCGAAATCACCTGGAAATGCGAATAAATACGCAACTGCAACAACAGTTTATATTCATTTGAAAACTCTGGTTCAATAATATTTGTACTTGAACCTAGACGCTTAATTCTGTAGAAAACTTTAACGAAATGCTCATGAAATGAGCTTTTCGACATTTTTGAAGATGCTGTGATGTTTTGTTACAATCTTTTGTCTTAGATTTACGGATTGGGTGTACAAAAATTATATACTTTCCTTCAAAAATTATAAGCACTCTCTGCATTGTTACTAGTCATGCAAATGCATTTATGTTTCTTTGTTATAAAATCAGAAAATTCGTCGGAAAAGTAGAAATGTGCAGGCAAGCGTAAATTCACATATTCATATTTATTTTACGTTGTTGTACAATTTGTAATTAGTATTAAAGTTTGTAATAATTTGTTAAATAATAGTGCACGAAAAGTTTGTTGGCCTCCTCGAATTTGCTATCGCATTTTCTGCAATTTCCCTAACATATTTTTTACATTTCAGAGGCACATTAAACGAACAGACGAAATATTAAACGAAAAAGTAACTGTGAGTTTTTTGATTGGATAATTTGTTTTATTTTCAGGTAGAATTTGGAGAGCCATATAATTATAAGAGAATGGCCGATCGGAGAATATCCACGAAAATTCGTAAAAATGGAAAAGTTAAAATTCGATCTTATAAATGATTACAACAAATTTACCCGGCTGTTGAAAGCTCAGATATAAATATATCTTATGCAGTTCCTGAAAGTGTGACCTAGATATTCTGCAGTGGGAGCATATTTAATAAGTTACTTAAACATCAATTATCAAAATAGAAAAATTAAAAAATGCATTTTTAATAAATTGACTACACTGACTTCTTTCTTTGCACTTCCTTGTATAATTCACCACCTCTTTCAAGTCGAGTAGTAACTTTTCGCATACACCAGAAAGTATATCAACAGTAGTATTATTAATTGATTATTATGCGTGATTTTACTAGTTAAAGACACCTGTTTTTGCCACGTTCTATTCTTTCGGATTCAATTATTAATTCTTCTTCATTAGAACAGCTGCTGCTGGGTAAATGACGAATTCGATGGTATCTTAGCTGCATTTCATAAATGCAAACATAAAGTTAAACGATTTTCCGATCCCAAAGCCGTTTGTAATGTATGTCATTGACCCAGGCAAAAATTTCCAAAAACAAAGTTTTAAAATTACGACGCGATGAAGTTTCAACAGTTTCAAACATGTATTTTCTAAATCAAATCGCATATTTTCTCTTGATAGATTCAACTCTAGTAGAATTCAAAATACAAAAGGCTCATAACCAAACATTTGGAAGTCCTCGTAAAAAGCAGTGTAGACGAGGTCGAGTTCTACGCTGGAGAGCTGTAGCAGGTAGTGCTCGGTGCTCCTGCACTCTGCAATACGGCCGTTCACGCGGCGTTCCTCAGAGGCTGCCTCGATTGTAGGACCAGCTTCCGAATCCTGAAGCTTTGGGTGCCCAACGAGCCTTCGTAGCAGCGGGAAGTCTTCACCGATTGTTTCTATCTAAAAAACGCAAATTGTTGTATACATATCAATTTTAATAAAAAAATCGAAAAAATCGAGAGTTAGTTAGTTGTAATTAGTTGAATGCAGAAAACTCGGTCTAAGAATTGAAACTTAAGAGAAATACAGGACTTTCTTTTTCACGCCAGCATGAAATAGGAGGCATAATATTTTGTGGAACTTTATATTGCTGCTTGATTTCAGCCATAGTATTTTGTCTCGAGTCCCACCTTCATAAGGAAGTCGAAGCTCCACTCACACGGGTCACAGTGGTCTACCTGACGCCCATAGCTCGCGTGAACCGCGGTCCGACATGTCTGGTTGGTTCCACATTTCAGAATTTCGACCGCCACTTCGACGGCAAATTCGCGGAAACTTGGCATTGATCCATCCATTGGTAGATCCAAATCGGTAAATTTAGTCATGAAATTTTCTTTTCCAGGTGGACTTATTATCGTGAAGGAAGAGATACCCTGGGCGTCTCTTGAAAATCTGTATTGAGGAATTTCAAGCTTGACAATGTCCTCTGTTCGGCGATCGCGTAGCCTTGAAAAATTTCTGAACATCAGGACGAAAGCCAAGCGTTTCTCAAGAACTTTTCCACAATAGCACGACACCAACCTGCGCCACGATATAAGTTGTTACAAAATTAATTTACGTTAATTCATATGGACAGGTTTGAGAAAGAAAGAATTACCGACGAACGACCGATGAATCCATTTTGGTTTCCCTATAGTTCAGGTTTTTCGCCAGCAGGATAAAAGTATATAATGGCTTCAGCTATAAGCATACGCTGTAATTGCATAGACGCAAAAATATATCAATGCATACTTTTGAGGAGTACTTGTGATATCTTAGATTTATTTTGGATTCGCTTAAGACATAATCGCATTAATAACATTAGATTAACATTCCTAAAAACAATTAATTTTTACGATTTACTATTGATTCTGCATATGAATTACTCACGTAATTGATCGGCCGTCATAGCGTCATATTCATGTTGCTTGCGCATGCATTGATATGTTATAAAAACGGTATAATATTTTATAGTCTTAACGCCATTTATGGACAAGTCGCGAGATCGCTTAACAACGTATGTATTCATATGATCGTTTATAGCTCGTTTTTATCGGCAGTAAATTAATAGTGCAGTAGACCGGTTTTCCAGTAGTCGTTTTCTAACCTATTTACGGCTATATATCACGTTGTGAATTTGACTATTAAAAAAGTTGTTATTCAGCATTCTTTCAAAGGCAATAATCATATTCATGGTGATTAATGGATAAAAAATTTCATCATCACGAGGAGCGTCGTCATCGAAATACTGTTTACACATAACAAGTTTATGGTCATTTCTCATTATCTTTTAGCAGATAATAAAGCGATTCACTGAGATTTATGTTATCAGATAAAGTAATTTGAATCCTTCACACATAGATTTAGCTAGTTTACACTACGATAATTAATTAATATAAATAAATATAATATAAAAATTCTAATAATAACTAATAAATGAGCGATAAAACGCGTGAAAAATGTTTACAGTAATTCAACGGTTTGATTTTTGCATATTTAAATATTCTAGTATATTGCATGCAACCAAAGCAAGATTTATCAATTTAAATTTGGCTTCTTTGCCCACAGCAGGGCTCCAGACTGACCGGGTGAAAGGATGTCGTACTTGAACGTAGGAGAAGAGCCGGTGAGCGAGTAGGACTCTGTCGTCGCCCAGCTGCTTGAAGAGCCGCGACGCCGTGTGGTGCAGGTCGTCGTTGCTGCGGAACTTGGTCCGCTGTCCGTTGATCTCCAGCAGGAAGGTAAGCATAGTGCTCGACCCAGTCTGACGGGCATTGATATGTTGCTTTCACGTCACGCATCTATCATTACTGTTCATCGTAAAACAAGAAATGGACTTGAATCAATAGGTCATGTTTTTCTTAGTATGGACAATTGCTTTGTCAAAGATAACAACCTAAAAATATTGTGAAAAATATATTTTAAAACTGTTAATGAATATTGAGGTTTTAAAGCCTATGCTTCATATTGTTGACTAGAAAAATTACTATACGATCTTGTATCCTAATCATGAGAAATTTTTCAATCGTTCTAGGAATTTAAGCGCCAAATATCTTAGCCGCGCTAACTTTTTCGAGCTGACAGTATGCGATGCCATGCTGACTCGAGACCAGCACCCAGGAGTCGTTCACTGGCGTGGAGGGCAGCGCCCTGGAGGCGCACCACTCCTCGGCAGTGACGAGACGCTGCGCTCGCACCAGCATTCCGCGCACCTCCTGCCAAAGGGCTGGGCTTTCAGAACTCGCTCAGCATATGTAGAAGTCTAAATAGACGTAAGAGTCTAAGTACACGTAGGAGTTTAAGTACACGTAGGAGTCTAAGTACACGTAGGAGTCCAAGTACACGTAGGAGCCGACTTTTCCTCTGCGATAGGTCGCTTCAGCTTAAAGATCCATCAGTGCTTGGATGGCAGGAGCTGTTGCAAACTGGTAGATAATTTTGATATGACGACCCAGTGCATGTCTTCAGTGCGTTTCACTCACCGTAATAGTGTTTTTCTTTGAAAAGAAAAGCTGTCTATAAGTGCCACTATTGTGTTTCCATGGCAAGAGAGTGATAGTTCTGCCTGATTCGGGATAATTATGGTTGGAAATGTGATAAAGTTCCGATCCAAAACGCGTGTGGTTGTTGAGGAACTCAAATACACCCAAATTATTTTTACCTTATCAAATCGCTGGTCTTGTCGTTTTTGTATAGTTTTGATTCGATTTATTTCTAATCTTAATAATAATTTTCTCATTCCTACTTTCATGGTGAGCCAAACCCATTCCATTTAGTTTGAGTGCACGTAACCAACTTGAGTAAGTAAAGTTTGACTTAACAATGATAGTAATTATATAAAATAAGATATTAGCGTCTAATTTGATGATGCATGATCAATTGTTTGTATGTGACTGGGCAGACATGACTTCGTAGAACTGCAATGACTCAGCAAGAAATCATAGAGCTTCTATCCTCTTTATTGCTGCAGTCGCCATTCAGCAATTCGAATTAACTCGTCTTATCAATGATGAAGTAAAAAAAAAACAGATTGCATGCAATATACGATGGCATAGCTGTAAACACGCGTTCAATAAATATCTGATCAGTTACCTAGGCAAATATAGCATAAAAATACACCAATGTGATCTAGTCCTGTTCACCTCAGTCGTAAATCAACACGTATTTTATTCATAACTGCGTACTTGTACAGTCCCATCTTATTATTAATATAATTATAAATTATGCAATTAATAAATAATTCAGAATCACCTGTTGTCTTCATACTGATCAAAGAAGCCAAATAAAATTTTACATATTTTTCTAACACTTTCCAGCATACACTCGAGTCATAAAGTAACGCCATCACTGCATTTGAGAAGGAAACTCGCCTTTTATTTTCAGTGCCCGAACGGCTTATGAAGCATTATCCACTAAACAAATTGTTTCTCACCGCATCATTTTGAAAGCTTTCCGGTAATGGGATTCGTCGCTTAATCATTTGCATAAGAAAATCTCTGCACATGCGAAAACGAGCCATCAGCAGGTGCGGTTGGTTGATGTCCTGCAGGTGGCACACTCCGCTGTTCAAGCCTTCTTCGGAAATGCTTCGCTCGATAGGTGTTAAATGAACTCTCAGTAGCACGAGGACATAAATTAATAACAACACTATGAAGAATTTCTTGACGGCTAAAAGTCTCATCCTTCCAAGTAGTCCCGAAAGAATATTTAGAAAATCATAAATTTTTCATGTCAAGAATAAAGCAGATGAAAATAGAAGCTTTTAGTTTAGGACAGTTAATTATTACGTTCATTTCAACAGCAAATCAAATGAAAATGTGACTCTACAGAGATGGTATAAAATTTGTGTTGTTTAGCACGTGCATTTATTTAGCCCTTTTATATGGGTTACTCAATGCTTCGTTAGCGCTGTGCAGAATTAGTTCAGTATTTTCACACAATATTTTGATAAATAACGAAGGTTCATCATTGCTGTCGCAAACATCGGGAAGGCTTCGAGTTAACTTCACCTACATGAATATCACTCGGTACTGACAATTTTTCGCTTGACCGAAATCATGAGAGTGTAACACCTGTGACATCTGACTTCAGGTGCAATCTAATACCTGCGCTTTGTGTGACTTTAGTGATGGAATAAATGCCACTGATGGAAAGGAGTTTGTCGAGCTGTGTGACATTGAAAAAATTACGCTATATTGAGCTTAGATTAATTTTAAATAACTATAAAAGCTCAGACAACTGTAACGAAAAATACCGTAAAAATATCAGCAGAAGCAGTTTTGGAGACGTAACATATCATTTGGGAAGGGAGGCGAAACATATCATTGGGAGGCGTGACGGCACAGCGCTCCCACAGTGACGCCAGGCTGATGCTAACGTCACGATCAGATGTGCGTTTTTCACATTTCACGATCAGGAATCTCACACATAAAATTTCCATCTATTGCCAACAACTAAACTATGCATAAATAATGCTCAGACGGAACACTGTCCAATGCTTTGCAAACATCAGGATGGCTCACCTCTGTTTGACAAGTCAAATCATTCCAGGTAGACGAATGGTTTGTGGTGTAAGATCACAGTGTTTAACAGTCAAATGGTCGATCACTCCGTGCGTTTATCCATCACCTATGACGCCATTACCTCACAAACTACTCATCTAAGACTGACACTCTGATAATTACTCGCGTTACTCATTTGAACAATTGTCACATGACAATTGTACAAACTGCATGACTGCTTTCCAGTTAGGAGCCAAATTCCTTCGTTCGAGGCCCCATGAAAAAATAAAGTCAGAGTGGTGGCAGGCTCTGTATAATTTATTAAGCAATGAAATTAATTTATATTCTTCTCAAATTAAAATCAACAAGTATTCAATTTTCCTAAAAATTACACTGTACCTACGTAAGTTGAATTATTATTTAGTTCCTTTCTTCCGGAATTCCGTGCCGAACATAAGTTCGTAACCAAAACAAAAGTTTTTTTTCTACGTCTTGGTAGTTTTTATGGGCGAATTTGATTCGGTCGGGGATAGAAGGCTATTAATATAATGACTATGACTGTATGACATGAGGATGAGTATTGAGTAACTGTAACGCAGCTAACGCTATTGGGTCATTATTCATATAACTTGCGAAAACTGCATCTGGCAGCCTAAACCAAAAATGGATGAAATAATAGGTATGCATATAAAAATTACTTTTTAAAGACAACACTTCTAAAAAATCCAGTGTCTGAGACTCTCTGAGTCTCCACTGCTACAAATGTACAATGAATTTCTAATTTAATTTAACAAAATTATTACTTTTTTAATCTATAAAAAAATATAAATTTTCAAAATTATTCATTCTGTGATTTCTGTCAATTGATTTTGATTCATCATTTAATGCACTGAATAGTAAGAGCCTAAGAGGTAATCGTGATATATCTCAATCATGCAGACATGACTTGTATTACATGACATAGGTATTTATGCACATGCATCGTCTCCTCTCCAAATGTACGTATTTGTATGCAAGTGTACAAAATTTCAAATCTATTGGATTGGTAGGCTAGAAGTGTTTCAAACACCAATTATATTAAGATTTGTAGCAGACAAAATTACCTAGGTATATTTGATTTAATGATTTTCGAAATGTTTGAATATTATTATTTTTTTAATTTCTATAAAATTATTTACTTTATTTCATTTATATTTTCAATGTTTTCATAATAATTTTTTAATTTTTATAAAATTATTTACTCTGTCAAATGTCAATTTATTCTTGCCTTTCTTGGTTTATGCAATGTCTCCAACTTTTGTGTGCAAAATTTCAAATTGATTGGAGACTTTGGAGTGAGTGAGTGGTACTGTGGTAGAAGTGTTAAATATCAATTATAAGATTTATAGCAGACAAACAAACAAATGAACAACAAGAAGTGAAGTTAAAGAGAATTGTTGTAAAAAAGCACTAGCTATTTATATTCAGCTATTGATAGGTATAGCTTGTCTGTTGGTCATTTGAATGATAGGGTAAACGCGGTATATTCCGACATTGTAGGTAATTCCGTCACCTCTCCAGCTTTTCCTTTATATTAAGCTTTGTTTTAGTTCCATGCGTTCATTGATGGTTGAAATGGTGACGTCATACATTTGCGTGTCGAAATACTGCAAAAACACTAGGTCTTGGGCATCTAGTGGGAAAATATTGAGATCCAAAGAGAGACAATGCATGCCACGTGGTGAGATCATCGAAAAATGTGTCAAATTTGACAGTTGACATGGCTCTACCAAATAGTGAATAACTGTTATTATAGGAAGAATATTATGGTTTGAGACTTTTAAATACGTCTGTGAATATATTAGGAATCCTTTAAGTATACTTGTATTTGCTGATTTCAAGTCGTAAATAAATTAATAGATGATTAAGTTGAGATGTTGGATTTCGACACATGAAAACTAATTCCGACACAACTTGAATTGGACACACACAGATCGTTCAAAGCTTTGTAAAAAAATTGAAATTTGCTTAATTAAAAGCCTAATAGCTGTTAATTAAAACGTAATTAAGTAGTGTTCAATATTCGTTAGTGTTCTAATTCAAAGCCGTGTTGTATCCCAATACAGCTCACACAGCAAACGGAATTCGAACACGTGGATGTCGGCAATACGTATCAGTTAAATTTGAAGCGCTGACGCAATACGACTCACCACGTGTTGGATGTTGCCACACAAAGTGACGGAATATAGGGATTTGGTAGGTTTCCATTCTAAAGGCTTTTCAATAAATATGGCAACATTTTGTGACGTTTCATCGTTGCTGACGCGTAGTGAAGTGTTTTGAGAGTCATGTGAAGGCATCAGAACTTGCGTAACGCATACGTTTATTTTTATAGTTTTTCATTTCTCGATGCGTCCTTAATGTGTCGGAATATACCGCGTTTACCCTACAATGATGCTGAGCAAGTGTGGAAAACTTCTACATCTAGGGCTGTGACTAAAGCTTTCTCAGTGGCCACTGGCCGGCATTTCTGTAACTAACTGCAAGATTTCTGCCAGATGAATTACGTACCTTGTACCTAATTGTTAACAAAAATGCACAATCGGGCTGCAAGATTCCAATTTCCAAATGGATTAAAAGTTTGTCAAGTTGTAGCGGCAAGATTTCAGAAACAAGAAGGAAAATTGCAATCCTGATGCTGAGCAGCTGAGGTGAATGCAGGCTGATTGGCTGAACCCTGAAGGGTATTTTGATGTTCCTAAGTCCA